TAAATTGCTGAGACTGCTGACCTTGAACTTGAAATTCTCATGCCTCAATCTCCCAAGTAGCTGGAGTTACAGGTATGCACCACCATACCTGGACTTCTACATAAAATTTTTAATGGCTATATATAGTTTTTGCAATGTTGGAATTCATATGGATCTTTCTTATATGTAAAATAAAATATGCTACGATTATACTACAGAACAGTACAGATAGTTGGCATTTAATAAATATTTGAAGAATATATTAAGTCTTTTAAAATGTATTTTACTATATATGCTGTTAAATATGCCTTGAAAAATATGATTTAGAAATGGCTGCCAATTTTTAAATGTATAATAATAATTTGCTTAACCACCTTCCTACTATTAGTCATTTGTTTTTTTAAATTTTTATTTCTGAATTTCTTGAATGAACCCCCCTTTGACTTAATAAATCATTATGCATACTTCTAATTATCTTAGGTAAGTTCCTACAGTAAAATTTTGGGGTCAAAGAGAATGAATGTTTCTTAACCCATTTATAACAGATTGCCAAATCATCTTCCAGAAACATCTATCTTAATTTGAAGTGTGAAATTTCTTTTACTTATTAAGACCTCTTTATCCCCAGATGGATTTTTGTTGTTTGCAATCCAACTGTTTTTCACCTTCAGTCATTGTTTGGCAATCTTTTCCTTTGTGGTTTTTATCTGTTCCACTTGTGCTTTACAATAGCTTTCTGTTCCAGAGATCAATTTTACCTTTCATCTATTTTTAAAAATGTGCTTTTACCTGCAACTCTTCAATCTCATTTTGGCTTAAGACAAGGAGACAACTTCTTTAGTAGTTAATCATTCATCTCAATATGATGCATTGAACAATCCATCCTTTCCTTAATGGGTTAAATGTTAGCTTTCCACTAATGCACCGTTATACAAAGGCATTAAGTTTGCTTCTGTAGTTTTGATGATCTGTCTGTTCATTCTGACTGTTCAGTTCAAGTCATTTTTCTTAGAGAAAAATAGTTTCTGGCAAGAAAAGTAGCCTTTACTTCCTCACACTGTTCACATCTCAATCTCTGAGTCCTGACAAGCTACCTTTGGAAATGCTTCTGAATTCCTCTCTCTTTATGCTCTTCCTGCTACTGCTCCCTCAGGCCAACAACACCTCTTTGCTGCACTAATTCATCACCCTAATTCCAAGCTTGCCCCCCATCATTCATTCCATACTCTACATACAGCCAGAGTGAGTTTTCAAAAATGCAATGTGGTCTTTGGGTTTATTGTGTGCTTGTAGAATTTGATCAATATGATCATAAGGTCCTTAATGGATTCTCATTGTCTTTATATAAAAGGAGAATCTTTAACTTATAGTTTAGTCAGATCTTTTGGCAAAGATCTATTTTCAACTGTGCACCTTATAATAGGCAGGCAGACAGGCTTCTTCTGACCTGGCAGAATAAGGTTGAGCTTAGGTAGGTTGATGGTGCTAACTTCTGTCTATCTGGATGGCATCAGGGTGGTGTCTATGTAGGGAATATAGTGGCTCTGAATTATGAAACTCGGAGTACTGCCTCATACTATGGTTCTCTGCTTATAATGCTTCTTAAGCTTTATTGCTTATGTGCATTTTCTGGGGATTGGTGCTAAGATGCTGGTTATAATTCAGTAGATCTGGGGTATGGCCTGAGATTCTACATTTCCAACAAGCTCCTGGATGGTAGAGATGATGCTGGGTGAGAACTATGCTTGAAGTCATGAGTAGCAGGTACCTGGTTAAAAAAAAGATTGTTTTCTTCTCTCAGTGCATCCTGGAGGACAAAACATACAGCATTTTAAAATGTTTTAGTTTTCTTAAGAAATCCAAGTTGGAGATTGCATATTTTGAGTGAGTTCTATTGAAAGTATTGCTATTAGGCTAAGGGTTCTCTATTATTAGTACATCTCTTAGGGTCCCTGAGAAGGAGAAATTTCATGGAAAATAAAAAATGAGAACCTAGTGTGCTGCAGTGTAAGTGTTTGATAATAATTTGTTAATAGAAATATGAAAATACATTTCCTAAAGCTGATAAGGAAGCCTTGGACTGGACTCTATATTTTTATAGTGCACAAAATTCTGCTATAGTTTGGATCTAGAACATCTTCCAAAGGCCCATGTATTAAAGGCTTTGTCCCCAGTCCATGGAACTACTAAGAGGTGGGGGGTGGGTGGCTAGTGGAAGGAAGTTAGTCCCTTGGTGGCACACCCTTGATGGGGATTTTTGGACTCTGGTTCCTTTCTGTTTCTCTTGCTTCCTGGCTGCCTGGAGTTGAACATTGTCCTTGGCCATGCATTCCTGCCATTTTGAACAATGATGCTGTAGGCCCAAAGCAAAAGGGCCAATCAACGATGCAATGAAATCTCTGAAACTGTGAGCTTAAATAAACCTTTCCTTATTTTAAACTGATTATCTCAGGTATTATGTCACACCAACAGAAAGCTGACTAATGCATAACCTTATTGCCAACAAAAATGAAACTATTTAGGAAGCAAGGAAAGCAGACAAATAGAAATGTGTTTTGGCTACTTCTAAAGTTAGTTTATATTAAAGTATAGAATAATGGTTAAGAGAAAGCAGTCTTCCTGAGTTAAAATTCCAATATTTCCCAATACATTACTTCCAACAGGCCCAGTATATTACTTCCTTACTCCTCCATTTTGTAATCTCTAAAATGGGAATAAGGAGAGAGTCTGTCTCATGAGGACTTAATGAGATACTAGTCAGAAAACACTTTAAATATGCCTTCTACCTAGTTAGTGCTCATTGAGTGCTAATTATGATTAAAATAAATATGTCAACACAGAGAGGATGGCATTTCAGCCCATAGAAACAACATGTCCTTTGGTTTACTTTAGTCCATTATATCTCATTTTCTCATATGGGACACCCATAAAATCTTAAATTGAACAAAAAAATCTATCATTCCTGGTAACTTTAAAGTAATTGTTTTTAGAGTTCCATTATTTTGAGAAGTAATCGAACAATTGGTGAAAATATTCATCAACATTAATGATAATAGATCACATAATAAGCTCTTGAAGATAGTTTCCAATTTAGATTAATGGATCTGTGTCAAATTTATTGAAGTATTTGAAGAATTAGAGTTGAGAATTAATGGACTTAATTTTAATCTTGTGAGTTCATATTCTATTTATAATATATTTGAGAACCATCATGTCATTAACTTAGATTGACCTGCTTCAAATTGAGCTCTACACCTAACTGCTAAGAGGAGAGAGACACATACTTTTGTGCTACATTCTTACCTCACAAAGGACCAAGCACCTAGGAATAAACCCACATTGATGGTAGATGACATGCTAGGGAAAAGCCTGTTCTAGCACAGAATTGTAGCCTGTTACAATAAATTCAGAGCACATCAGGTTATATTTTCCTATCAGTGATTGACAGTGCAGAGGTTGTTAAAATGACTGTACATCTTTATTATATGTGTAAATGTACTTTAAATATTCTGGGTGTCTTTTTAAGTGAGAAATTTAAGTCTGTAGACTCATCTGAAACAATCTATAATACAGGGAATTATGAGCCACATAAACTTGATATGAATATTTATTTCTTGAACATCTGCTTGAGTACAAAATATGTGGCTTAAGTAAATCTAATATGAAAAATATTAAAACTAAAAGCATTTAAGAACATTGTATTGAAAGAAATAGATTTTATATACCCACTGTTGATGAGATTATGAAACAGTGCATAATACATGACAAACAACAACAAAAGAAATAGTTTGCTGAAATTAGGTAGTGTTAATGAGAACTTATAAAGAACTGTTTATTATTACCTTCAATCAGCGAAAGACATGAGTCAAAACTTTAATAAAACAGTAATAAAATTTTAATAAAACAATTTGAATCATTTTTTCAAAAATAATGTTTTTTGGGGGAAATATTTTTAAAATACTAAAAAGTATAAAAAGGAAACATTATCCCTAACACTCTCATTTCACAATATTATGTATTACAACATGTAAATTTCCGACAAAATCATTAACAGTATGATTTTTAATAAGTGTCTTACAATGATTTTAATATTTTTATTTTGCTGTTTATTAGGACATATCATTTGAAAAGGAAATTAACTAGTTTATCTGTAATAAAATTCTGACAATCTAGAGTTGTCTTTTGTATTGCTGGTGGGACTGTAAATTGGTGTAGCCAATATAGAAAGCAGTATGGAGAATCCTTGGAAAACTGGAAATGGAACCACCATTTGACCCAGCTATCCCACTTCTCAGTCTATACCCAAAGGACTTAAAAACAGCATAATATAGGGACACAACCACATCAATGTTTATAGCAGCACAATTCATAATAGCTAAACTGTGGAGCCAACCTAGATGCCCTTCAGTGGATAAATGGATAATGAAAATGTGGTACATATACACAATGGAATATCACTTGCCACATTCTGGCTGGGCAAAATAACAAGGAGGTGACAAGCAACTTGTGAAGATTGAAACAGTGGGAGCCCCTTCTCTGCCAGACAGCAGAGGTATATATACTTAACTAATTACACACAACTTAACTTAATTAACATCTAGATATAGCAGTCAACCAATAAGGAATCCTCATCATCTTAATGGCTTGCTGGTGTTGCTTCACAGACCACTACTCCTGGCAAAGTGCCAGGCGCCATCTTGACTTGGTTTCAGCCCTTAACAATCACTCAGCAATAAAAGAGAATAAAATCATGGCATTTGTAGGTAAATGGATGGAGCTGGAGAATATAATGCTAAGTGAAATTAACCCCAAAACAAACGTTGAATTATTTCTCTGATTAAGGATGCTGATTTGTAATATGCTGAGGGGAGGGGATGGGAGGATTAAATAAACTCTGAAATGGGGAAAAGGGGTGAGAGGGGAAGGAAGGGGGCACAGGGGTAGGAAAGATGGTGGAAGCGATGGTCATCATTACCCTAAGTACGTGTATGAAGACACGAAGGATGTGACTTTGTGTACAACCTAGATATGAAAAATTATGCTCTATATGTGTAATATGAATTGAATGCATTCTGTTGCCATCTATAACAAATTTAAAAAAAATAGGACACTGTAGTATTATGGCTACAAATGTCTTAAGACCTAGACATGTCCTGCTAACGTTTAATGCACACCTTGAAAATGTTAGTGCAGGTAGATTTCTTCATCAAAATTGAACAATTTACCCAAAAAAACAACCCTTTGTCTTGCAATAGTTTAACAGAGTAACTGAAGTAAGTTCCCCATGTCAAACAGTGAGAAGAGGCAATGGTTATTGGTTGGTCTTGCCTTCCTAGAATATCAGCAACTTCTAATTTGATTGTGACAGTTTGAATGTGAGCTGTTCCTGCCACATGCTCCTGTGTTAATGCAGAAGGTGAAATTATAAGATTATGACAGGTGTAACCTCATCAGTCCCTCCCCCATTTGAATTGATTGAATGGTAACTGTAGGCAGGTGGGTCAACGTTGGAGGAAGTATGTCTTATGTACCATGAGAATCACATTTTATTCCCTCTGGCTTCTTCTCTGTCTATGCTTCCTGGATGCTATGAGTGGAGCAGAGTTACTCCAACATCTTCTACCACCATGATGTTCTGCCTCATTTTGATCCCAGAGCGATGTAGTCAGTTGACCATGGATTGAACCTGTGAGCCAAAATAAATATTTCCTCCTCTAAATCATTTCTGTCTTGTGTTTTAGTCATAGCAACATGAAGCTGACTAACACATCGAATGAGTTCTAACTTTAGATAGCGTACAATTCTCTCATTTCACCCTTTTTCCCACTTTAACCCACTCTTCACACCATCTATGATATTCAAAACCTGCATTTAGCCTGTTATGCAAAAGAGCTGCAAGGGTATTTTCTGTCAGCAACCAGTCTTGCCTTATCTTAATTTCACATACAAATCAGGATTTTAAAAAATGGTTTTCACATCTCTTTTGGCATTATGGAGTGCCTCTCTCCACTATGGAGTGATTCTGGATTTCTCCAGAATCCATTGATTCAGTCAGCAAATATTCTCCCTACTCTGTCCTAATCATTGTCTCATTGTCCTGGCTGTTGAAGATCCAATGGCATTCCTGAGAGAGAAGATCCCTTCTCCTCAGATCCTATATCCTGTAATCGGGGGACATGGCATACACTCATGCATATGTACATACTGAAGGTCATTTCCATTAGCAGTAGATATAGAAATACTGAACAGAGTGCTGTGACGGTAGGTGGGGGCTCCTGTGCTCAAGATGGCTCTCCTCTGCATTGCCTTGGGTTTCATTGTCCCCACTGCAGGGAACAAATGCCCTAATCTGTGGGACTGAGTGCAGATGCACAACCTGAGATTCAGACAGACCCTCTGAAATCTTTATTTTGCTTTTACCTTTTTTCTTTTTTTTCCAATATGAAGTTTCCAATCCCTGATTTCATCATGCTCATTTACATAGATAGCTCCTCCTACTATATTTGATATTTATTGTCGGCACCAAACGTGTTTAAATATTTTTGCTATGATCTGCACACTTACTAATGAAACACTTAGATTGTATTATCCCATTTGGGGGCTGTGTGGGTCTAACGTGATTAAAGGCAGATAACATAGATAAAACCTTGGTGAGGACAGAGTGGGTGGTTGTGAATTGTTTTTCTCTTTTTTTTTTTCCCTTCCTTTTGATTCTCTTCCTACATACTGGAATTAACTCCAAACAGAGAGATTCAAATCATCTTCCATGTTGGCACCATCAGAGTAAATACTGTTTGCCTGGAAAGAAGAAGAAGAAATCCTGACTTTACCCCAGCAACCCCTTAGAATTCAGGCCTCGGCAGGTAACTTGGATTCCTTACTTGGGAGTCTATTTTTGTACTGTCCCCTTCATATGAGATCATTGATCTTTTGAATGTAGATTTTGTTCCAGAAAGATTGTGTTGGTAATCCCTCATTTAAAAAATATGATCATAATTGCTCCAAAAAATCTGTTAGGTTTTAAAAACCTATCTCTATAGAAATGCTTCCTTTCCTTCAAGCCTGATTCAAGACTTTCAGGTACTAATAGGTTTCTACTTGACATTTTCCCTTTTGTGAATATTGCATTTTTATTCTGATGTTGAGATACAGAATCATAAAATAAGATTGTTTTGAAGGAATTCTAGATTCAAATGTAAGATAAGAAAATGAGACTTATTAGGCAAAGGAGCTGCAGTTCTGAATATTTTTTCATGAAGAGCTTCAATCAAAGCAGTATTTCTACTAGTTCTCTAGGAAATTGAGGTTTTTGAGATACTATTTACTTTAACATAAATATTTATAGACTCTTAAGAGGTACAACTGAATACATGTTTTAAAAAACATAAAAACTGTATATAAGCTTATAACATTAAAAACTCTCACCAGAAAATTGATATTTGACAGTTTCCTTGTGAACTTTTAAAATGTGGCCTGAGTTCTCAAAGATCAAATTGGAGAACAAAAGTATAAATAGGTCATTTCAGTTACAGCTTCATATTCACTTTACAAATACATTCAGATATTCATGACTCTTTCAGGAATTTTAGGAGGTGGCTAAATTTTCATAAGGAGACATGTTCAAAGTTAGGAAATTACTTTTGCTGGAAAACAAATATCCCCTTTTTTTTGTGGCTTGAGGCACAATATACATTACCCACAATTGTACATTTTAAGGTAGTTCCCACAGTGAGAATGAGGTAATAACACATTTTTACCTCAAAGAATTGAAGAAACAATATACTGACAAATTTCTTTCTGATTAAATTACAATCATCAAGGAAGATTCTCCAGATATTGTACCATATGCTTCATCACCTTTTACTTTTTGTTTAGGAAAAAAAGTATGAAATAATCCTCTAAAAATTCCTTCCTACTCTGCCTGCTTTCCGTAGAGAAGGGCTGTAAAGTTCTTACCTCCACGGGCTGGGGTTGTGGCTCAGTGGTGGAGCGCTTGCTGGGATTGAAACGACCATCTACTCACAGGTGAAGTTTTTAGTTGCTCTTCAAGGGCAGTCTTGAGGGTAGCTGCCTTTTCCCTCCCTGGTCCTTGGTCTCAGAACCAGGAACCTTGAGTGAAGTCATTGACTTGGGCATTCTAAGAGGTCAGGGATCACAGATTCCATTTGTGGATCAATTACCATCACCATTTTGTTGTGCCTAACTGTAGTACCCAGCCATATTGAGACCCAGTATTGCACCTCCACAGGGCCATTTGCTACCCAATTGTCCCTATCTCTTAAGAATCTCATTCACTTTCACTTTCTGTGGAGACCCTGATGGGTCCTCTCCTATCTCTCTAGCAAGGCCTTCTAAGAGGGTTTTCATAATTAACACTCAAGCCTCATTAACTATGCTAAGTCTAGTCTAGCTGATTTAGGCAGCTTTTTTTGGTGCCTCTAGCATATTATTTGGATGGCAAATAAATTTGCCAAGCTAATTCAGTGTGACAGGCTTTTGCTTAGGAGCTGGTCCCATTTGGAGAACTGCTCTTTGAGATTCCTTCTTTGCTTTTCAGCTGCCAGCAATTCTTTTCAGCCAGCAACGCTGTCATTTATTTACCTTTAGCACCAAAAGGGACTGAAAAGAACATTTATACCAGTTATCTGATATTTTTGGAGGGCTCATCTTCAATGCCCTGTTTTAATTTTTTTCCCCTTTTCTCTTCCTTCCTTCCTTCCTTCCTTCCTTCCTTCCTTCCTTCCTTCCTTCCTTCCTTCCTTCCTTCCTTCCTTCCCTCTCTCCCTCCCTCTCTCTCTCTCTCTCTCTCTCTCTTTCTCTTTCCTAGGCTTCCTCCCTGTTTTCTGAATTTCTTCCTCTTCCTTTTGGTACATTTCCAC